TATTTCTTTTGGATTAAGTTTTTAAAGTAATTATTTGTGAATGCCAATGGATATATCACCTTTTGTTGTACTCTTTGCTTTTACCTTTTTGATCAGATAAGTTTGTGGTAAATGCCACTGTTCATGTTTTACACATATGAGGGGAATTCAAAAGGCTTGTGGATAAATGAAATTAAAAGATAAAAATAAAAATATAAGCTTTACTTCTCAATATCATCTCCATCAAGTTCAGGATACTCTTGTAAGTGGTGGTACCAGCCATTTTAGTCAGTCTCTGAAGAACTGAGGATCCTGGGAATTTGGCCAGGTCAGTGTACTTTGTTTTCAATTATTAGCTGAAGAAAATTGGGTGCTCTTAAAAGATTTGGAAACAAAAAGAAGTCAGAAGGAGTCAAATCAGGACTGCAAGGTAATTTCCCACAGAAACTTGCAGAATTGTCCTTCTTTGATGAGAGGAATGATTAGGAGCTGTCTTGTGAAGTACTCTTTGGTGAAGCTTTTCCTAGCATTTTCCTTTGAACACTTTGGCTAACTTTCTGAAAATACTCTCACAATCAGCAGATGTTATTTTTCTTTGGCTCTCCAGAAAGTCAACAAACAAAATGCCTTGAGCCTCCAAAAAAAACTTGCTATAACCTTGCTTTTTTGTTTGTTTGCTTTAAAATGGAGTTTATTAAAACAACAACAACAACAAAAAAAAAAAACACTGTAAAAACTGCTGCACAAAATTACCATCAATGACAGATACACTTATCAATTTAAGGGTACATATTTATTGTACCCAATTAAAAACCTTTACTTTCCCTTGAAGCCTTTTTCAGTTCTGAGGTGTATACAATTAGCAGGAAAACACTAATACAAGAGGAAAATCAATTATGCATGACTAAGTACAGTCCAGCAGCTTAAATCATCACCTGAAATAAGTGTGCTTCAGAGATGACAACACGAGAAGTGCCATATGATGATTCTCTACTCCAAGGGGCCTGTCACTTCTTGTTGTTTTTTTTTTAAAGAAGATGTTTTATTAAGCAATTAAAAAAAATTAATAGATTTTTAATGGTCTACTTTTGCTTTGACTGGATCACTTCTACCTGTTGGATGACCTGCACTTTGATTGTGCTTTGTCTTTAGGGTCATACTTTTAAAGTCACATTTCATTTCCTGTTAAAATTCTCCAAAGAAGTACTTTAGACTCCTGATCCCACTTGTCTAAAGCTTCAGTTGAAAGCTCTTTTCTTGTCTGCAGCAGATCTGGGTATAATGGAACTGAAAGTTTACGTAGTCAGAATGGTGTAAACTGAACAAATTGAGATCTCTATTATGTTGGCTACTACTTCTGCTCATAATTGATGGTGTCTTTAATTAGCGCATGAACAAGATTGATTATTTAACTTGCTATTTCATGTGGCTATTCTGCCACTGTGGGCTTTATCTTCAGTATAATCTTTCCTTCTTAAAATGAGTTACCCATTTTCAAACTTCTGATATCTTTTGGGCATTGACCCCATTTATAAACCATTAATGATTTTATTGTACTTCATCATAAATTTAATGTTTATTCTTGCTTCAGTTTAGCAAAGTTCATACTGCTCTAATAAGAGTTCTCTTTAAACTAATGTCTTCCTTCTTGATGCCTGAAAAGAGATCTTGTCCAGACATGTTACAAGTTAGTATGAGATTTTTTGTCACAGAAAATTTAAAATCCATGCATAATATTTTAATAATACACATTTTCCATGATCTCTTTGAAGACCCTTCACACATATGCTGTAAAATAATGATAGTAATAACAATTGACTGTAGTGGTCATAATAATAATGGTTACTTCTATATAGTGCTTGCTGGTTTAAAGCTTAATGTTCGTTAAGTTTTTTCTGAGATTCATAACACTAATAACCTTTCTAATATAACCCTGTATAGTTAATGTTCGAACAGAACATG